ATATACCTCATCATCAGATTGAGCCATGAGGCATAGATCTTCTGTGTCTGTATCAAGGCAACAGAAGGCTTCATCTGAGTCTGAATCTGAGCTGGATTCTGTCTCAGAGAGGGGATCTTTCTCGACTTGTTCTGAGATGAAGGCTTTCCTTCTTCGGTTTTGATCTTCATACTTTCTTTCTTCATCTTGTCCTTGCTTCTTGGACACTCTTGGATGGGGGCAGTTGGCCTTGAAGTGTCCAGGCTGTCTGCAATTGTAACAGAGTAGCTCTCCACTGCTTTCAGAGGGCTTAGTCTTCTGAAATGATCTTCTGCTTGAGGATGGGCTTCTTCCATCCTTCTTCATGAACTTCTTGAACTTCCTAGCAAAGGCAGCCATATATTCATCAGATAAAAGGGTAGAAGGGTCAAAGTCCTTTACCTTGGATGTGCTGGCTGTGAGGGCAGTGGTGGTCCTCTCATCATGAACTTCTTCCTTCTCATCATGCATCTCAAACTCATAAGCTTTGAGATCAGAAATCAGCTTTTCTGTTGGGTAGGTTTTGATGTCCTTGCTCTCTTGGACAGCAATAACCTTCATCTTCCAGACTGGGGGCAGTCCTCTGAGAATCTTCAGATTTACTTCTTTAATAGTGAGTTCCTTTCCAAGCTCAGAGATTTCACTTGTAAGGATCAGCAGTCTGGCATGCATCTCAGCTATGCATTCATCAGGCAGAAGTTTGAAGTCATCAAACTTCTTCATGGCTATGGTCAGTTTGTTGTCTCTCTCCTGCTCATCTCCAGCACCAATGAGATCAAGTTTGTCCCATATCTCCTTGGCAGTTTTACACTTCTTTATTCTGTTGAAGTATCTGTTGTCTATAGCCTTGTAGAGAATATCCTTGGCTATGTTGTCCAAGTTATACTGTCTCCTCTCTTCCTTGGTCCATTCAGACCTGGCCTTTTCAATCATCTCAGGCTGTGTTTTATCAGCAGCATATGCAGTGTTTATCTTCATGAATTTGGTGAAGGGTCCTTCTTCAAGGACTTCCCACATTTCATCATGGAGGGCACAGAGATGGGCTTTCATCCGAATCTTCCAGTCATCATACTTTTGATCTGAAAACATGAGATGCTTTGCAAGAGAGTTATCCATAATAGGTTTTAAAGGAGGCTAAGAACAAGTGGATCTTTGTTCAAGGAGTAACCTAATAGATTACAAGAACAAGGAGGCTCTGATACCACTTGTTGGTCCCGGTTAATCTGGTAACAGTCTAGAGGGGGGGGGGGGTGAATAGACTGTTATGGTTTTTAACTTTTTCCAGTCAAGTACCAAGGTAAACAGAATAGTCTGTTCTGTTGAGAACAGACTGGCAGCGGAGATCTTCTGGTAAGTGTTCTGTCGGGATAGCCTCACAGAAGAGTAAAGGCACTTGGCCTTCTGGTAACTCACTAGAGGTGTTCTGCTGAACACAGATACCACTTCTTAGGAGTTAATCAGTTTGCAAGAAATAAAAGCTGTAAGTAAATAACACCAGGGATTTTTATAGTGGTTCAAGGAACAACTCGTTCCTCTAATCCACTGTTCCACTAAGCTTGTAAAGCAACGGTTACAACGCCTTAGTCCCTAGAACTTAAGAAGCTCTCCACGTCTTCTTCAAGTCTAGATGTCTCCTGGGATGCACTTCCTTGCTTCCTTTAAGACTGGTCTTGTTTCACTGAGTCTCCTTGAAGTATCTCCACTTCACTACTCGAGCTACTTTCAGACGTCCTTCTTTGTAGAAGATGTTCTGTTGAGAACAGAGTTTTCTCCAACTTGCTTCGTCACAAAAGATTTGTAATGAGGTGCTTGAAGAGTTGAAGAACAGTAGGAACTTTGCCCTTGTTGGTGATGAAGAGTATGTGAACTTATGATCTTCCCAACGTAGGCCTTTCTTGTTGATGGAGTTGGAGTGTTGAATTTCAAGAAGGCTTTTTGTAAATAGAGCACAAGTTGTGGCAAAAGTTACCAAGTTGTTCTTCGAATAGTATCTTTTATACTGAGGCTGTCTTCCCGTTGGAGGAGGAGACAACTACTTTAAATGCACGTACAGTTTGAGTTGACCGGCTGGGCCCGCAAGTTTGGCGGCTTGCTATTTTGGGATAGGCTTTCCAGGAATCTCGGTCAATCATCAGCTTTTACTCTTCGGAGCATGGGGCTCATTAAATGAGCATTAAATGCAGTCTTGTAGTATTTCCGTTGAGTATGAGCTAGCCGTTGAGGGAATCTTCCGTTGAAGTATTTGTCAAAAACTTCTAAGTGTCTGATCTTCTGCTGGTTTACAGAGGGTCTCGAGCTCTTCTGACTAGAGAAAGTCCAACAGAATACCATAGGTACATCTGAGGAGCAAAAGGTTAACAGAGGAGTTGAGGGTCTTCTGTCAAGCAAAATTCTAACAGAGGATCTGTTAGGCAGTCTATCAACAGAGGATCTTCAGGTCTTCTGCCAGTTGACTATTCTAAAATGTACTTACAAGGAGAAAATTCTAATACATCATAGCTAAAGGGGGAACTCTAATGTTCTAATCTGTTTAGCATCATCAAAATCTAAATACAATTATTCCTTACAGCCGGCCACGTCGAACCCTCTTGCAACGGCTCTATTTCAACGGCTACATATCGGCAACACTGGCGTGCCCTCGGATGGTAGCCTCCGGCTACCGCTTCCGCAGCCTTCAGACAATGAACTCCACCAAACGTCTTCAAGACCGCGGCGGCATTAGCCTCCGGCTTATCAATGTCATCACCCCTCGGGAACTTATCAACACATCATGACTCCTTCAGCCCGAACTCGCCTTCGGCCTAAAGGAGTGGGGGACTGGGATACACCCCTCGGGGATCACACACAACAAAAATTTCTTCATGCAACAATTTACAATTGACGCATACGGCCTCCGGGCAAACATCACAGTACAACCCCTCGGGTACATGCTTCAACATACCCTTCGGCAGTGGCGGAGTATCACAATTTTTCCACGAGCCACTTGCGGAAATGAAGCAGCCCTCATCACAACACATACGGATATTATTTACGCCTCCCTCAGGAAACCCCCGACATGTGAGGGACTGAGGAGAGGCTCCGGCATTCATACAAGTGTTATACTTCCTTCAGAAAACCCTCGGCATGTGAGGGACTGAGGAAAGCCTTCTGCAGTCATACAGGTGTTATACTGCCCTCAGAAAGCCCTCGACATGTGAGGGACTGAGGGGAGCCCCCGGCGAACACACGAAGGTTATTAATACCTTCCCTCAGAAAACCCTCGACATGTGAGGGACTGAGGGGAGCCTTCGGCAATCGGCAGAAAGCAAGTTCTCAAGCAAAGGCGCCCAACTAAATGATGGAGCCTCCAGAAGAATCAACACATCTACTCCTTTTCCCTCAAGTACCTTTTCGGCAAAGGAGTGAGGGACTCCTGATGGAGTATATGGCCCAGGAACCCCCGGCCCATAGACTCCTACTTCTCCTACACAAGTTCATTGGGCCCAGGGAACAACTCAGGCCCAAAATGCAGCGGCCCAAGCCTCAAAGTAGCTCAGAATGCACACTGGGATGCCTTCGGCCTCCTTGGCCGAGGGCTCCAAAACTCACAGAATAGCCTTCTCTGGCATAAGAAGCTACTGGGAGAAAACGGCGAAAAACATGAGCCTTCGGCATTGCCAAACCCTCGGCATCATAGCCTTCGGTCACATAAGGCCTTCGGCTACTAGAGGCCTTCGGCTGCACAGGGGTCCTGGTCGCATGGAGCCCTCGGCTACACCAGGAGCCTTCGGCCAGCCACGCTCAAATCATCGAAGATTCCTTTTGGAGACAGCCAACCACCGCATTTAATGCCACGTCACATCCGCCTGCCGCATTCAATGCGGTAAACGTACCACTGCCGGTGCCAACCGGTTGATGTGACCCTTCGGCCGTTGGATTATTGACACGTGTCCCCTCATCGCATTTATTGCTGCTATAAATAGCAGCCCATTTCTCCTTGTAAGACATCATCTACATCCCAACTCCACATCTCGAGTTCATTTAATAAAATCGACTCTCTCTCCTCCTATTTGCTCTGACTTCTCTCTAGTTATTCCCATAATAACCCCTCGGATAAGATACCCCCGGGTAGATTGTCCATCAGATATATTTATCTAATTAATTTAATTATTAATTTTTAAACTAGGATCATTTATATAATAAAGTAATGGTCTATAGTGACACTAAATTATCATAAAATTGTGACACTTCGAAGTGTCAACGAATGATTGGAACTTGAAATTGTGACACTAAAATTAGTTTTACTGTAAAAGTATCAATAAATTGTGACACCTTAATATCATAGAATATAGTGATACAATTGCATTGGTGTACTTAACGACACTTTGATACCATATAAATAAGTGATATGCTAATGTTACAAAAATCTATGAGATTATGATACTTTAATGTATATAAAAATGATGACGTGTTGTTGTCAATCCTTTTTTTGATACTATAGTATCAAGTATTGAACAAGTTTATAAGAGAAAATATCATTTTTTGCACCACCATATCAACCTAACATATGTCAACGAAACTATCAAAGCTAATTTATTAGTTCAAGGCAACTCCCAAATTAAAGCTTATTTACCCAAAGATGTCAATCAGACAAATGATGTCCCAGATATAGTGATACGGACCATACGGTAAAAGAAGTTGCCATATACAATTATTTTTACACCTATACATTTTAATACCATTTACAATTTTATACGGAGTAATTTTTATAAGACAACAACATGGTAAGCTCATTGGTTTACTACTATGTACTTCAATGACATATAAATAGTGAAGGTATAATCATCCTTTTCATTGGGATCAGCCATTGACTGAACAGAGCCCCAAATTACTTGGTGATCATCCATTTCTGACTTTTTTTTTTGTAAAGTATCCATTTCTGACTTAGAAAACCAACTTGGGCTTGCTCAGAAGGAACTAAAATGTCTTAAGGAGCAATTCACCTCAACAAAGATTGCAAAGAAACTGGTGCAGGAGAACTTCCCTGGCAATGGAAAAGAAAACAGCCCTGCAAGTGTGGTTTTAGATGATAGCCCCGAAAGAATTTGATGAGGTGAGCCTGTTAAGGGCCAAAGTGGAAGAGAAGGAAAAAGAACTCAAACGTCTACAAAGAAAATGAAAATATATAATAGAATCAAATTACCAGCAAATTGGAAACATAGATTGTGTAACAAGAGAACAATTAGATTGAGAATAAGGAAAACTGTGCAATCTTAAAAAGAAATCAAAACCTTAAATAGATATACAAAAATAGCAAATACCTAGATAAAGAAAGCAGGAGAGCTAATACCTAGATGAAGAAGGCAGAGAAGCTTCTTTCATAGGCCGCTCGCAGGTACAGGCAAGGTCACGAGCTTGGGTATTAAGCATTAACGGTGATGTTAGAGAAGCGAAGTATACCGAGACTCAGGGATAAAACGAAGATAGCTCTTACGCAGAAGATCTGAACGGCAAAGAGTATTAAAATTCTGCTGAACGGTTAAGTCAAAAAACGTACCGAATAAGTCAACTTAAAAAATACTCCCTCCGTCCTTAATAACTTTGCCAAGTTTGATTAGCACGGGGATTAATAAAGTAAAAACGGTATGATTGAGGTTTGTGCAGATGAGAGAGAATTAATTGGAACCATATATTCTTTACTTAAAGAGGAAAGTGAAAAAGTTAATGAGACATCCAAAAAAACAAAGTTAACAAAGTTATAAGGAACGGAGGGAGTAAGTCATATGTAAACAAAGTTATAACTGACCGATTAAGTCACCAGAGCCATTCAGCCCATTAAGTCTCAAGTGAATGGGGCCTAAGTGTTACTTGCTCACTGCATTGGTTAACATACTTGGTAAAGCTTGGAATGACCATTTCTTCATTGAATTTGCTCTTTTCCAAAGTGAGAGCATGTCCCAGGAGCCACCCTCTTACTTTTGAGGCAAAATTTGAAGTGGCTTATATTCTAAATCCTAAATTTTATAAAAAGTATATCAAAATTCATACTCCCTCCGTCCCGTAAACAACTTCTCACTTTCCTTTTCGAGCAGTCCCAAAATTAACTTCACACTTCAAAACTTTCCTTATTTGGCAAATTATCTACATCAAAATAGTGTCAAAAAGTATTTAAACAGTGCAAAACAATACACTACATAGTAAAGTCAAATTTATTTTCTTAATCTGTGTGAAGTCAAAGTGTGAGCTTAATTGCGAGACGGAGGGAGTAATATTTTATGACCTTTCATATGACACTAATATCATATACTCCCTCCGTATCAGTTTTGTTGTCCCAGTAGGGTTTTGTAGTGGTTTAATAAAATTTATAGGTTTATTGTACACTTTTTGAAAAAGTATGAATTTTTTGGTACTGCAGCAACACTGTAGCAGTACTGTAGCAGCACTGTGACAGTGCTGTAGCTACTTTTGGAGTGGATTTATTTGCAAAAATAGAAGTGGGACAATCATTTTGATATACCCAAAAAAGGAAAATTGTGACAATAAAAGTGATACGGAGGGAGTATATAAAGTTTAAAACATAAAAGTATGAAATTTCATCGGCTGTACATTTTTATGTTTTTTTAAGTAAATGTAGATCCATCCAAGTGGTCAAGTACTTTGTGATCTGACGGCATCTCTGCTGATCTCCCAAAGAGGAGGTTGCAAGTTCGAGTATCATCTCAATCAAGATTATTGACACTAATAAGAGTAGATAATAATACAATGAGTTTAGAAGAATGTTACAAAAAGATAATAGATCCAAGTTCCAAAATTAAGGTCTCGTGATTTTTTCTTTACAATCTTTCATTTAAAAAAAATGGTATAAATTAACAATAAAAAATTTAAACTCCAAATTTTATTTATTTTTAGATCAAAATGTTCGTCTTTTAATAGCAAAATTATTCACAAAAAGATTAACAAAAAAATAATTTATAATAATAAAAGGAAGATTTTAATTAAAGAAAAACTTGATGATATAATATATTGAAAGCGCAGGATTGGAGTAAAGTAGAATTGACATAATTACGGGATTGTGCGAATCAATTGGCGGGGAATTTAAATCATTGAAGGAACCGGATTGCGCGAAGGACTTCAGTCATAGGGAGTTAACGAACAAATCCGGATCAACAAGTAAACCCTGCGCAAAACATGCTCAGCGAATCCTCTCCTCGGAAAAAGTTTTCGAGGCCGATGCGGTCAGATTTACCGACAGACATCATTCGATCAATTCTCTCGAAATCGCCGGTGAAATCTCTCCTTAGGTTTCAGTCCGTATGTAAAGAGTGGCGCTGCTTGATACAAGATTCTTACTTCAAGCGCTCTTATCGCGGCGAAGAACGACTCCTCGTTGTATCAGAGACGGCGGAGTATTCCGAGCCGCACAGAATTATCGTTGATTCCGTAAGCCACGACCTTCTCCTTGAAAAGCCTTACGAGTTCACAGAGCATTTATGCTTTCTTAAAGGAAAACCCTACAGAGGGTGTCGTGTTTGGGGTTATTGCAATGGACTTTTGCTAGTTTCTGTTGATATCCATATTTTTCTATGGAATCCATCCACCCGAAATTGTGTAAAAGTGCTTGAGCTCGAATGCTTGGCTGATTCATCTGAAGGCATCCGGGCTTCGGGGTTTTGTTACGATTCTCATTCTGGAGATTATAAGGCCATCATCATATTATTTCCCCAAATTGTTCTTGTTTCTAGCCTCAAACACAAAGAGTGGAGAGAAGTGACTTTACCTTATTTCTTACTCGATGATAAAGCTTCCCTTCACTTTCGGAATACGCTTCATTTGGTAGTAACTGATGCTCAATGGAGAAGGGGACACCGCTATTCAATGGTGGATAAGATCGTTTATTTTGATCCGCAGAGTGAAAAGTTTGAACTTTTGCCTACCGGTATAGCAGAGGAGAGACGAGGCGAAATAATAGTAGATTTGGGAGTGATAGATAACTGTCTTTCTGTGGCTATCTATCGGTCTCATAAGTCCATTGAAATACTTTCTATGAAGGAATATGGTGTAGCTGAATCATGGGTTACTATGTTCGATATCCCGGTATCTGAACTTCTGGCCAATGATTATGGACTATTAGCATTCTATTCCTATAAACACAGAGCCTCGACCCGGCATTGGGACGAATGGATAGCTGTTCTTAAGATGTCGACAAAAGGAGAGATTATATTGAATGGCGAAAAATGCAAAAATGTTGTTGCTATGTGTTTGTATGCCGAAAGTTTTGCTTCACCGTATGAATTTATTTGGATAGATGAGCATCACAAGCACTTGGCGAAGATGATCAAATATGTAGATCGTAAGTACCCCATCAAATTTAGGGGCAGTGGATGAGTGAATGAACTTATGTAGATAATATGACTTGAGGTTTAGCGGTATCAAATTAATTTTCTGTAGTTCTTATTGTGTTTTATATCATTTTAATGAATCTAGTATTTTAATGTTAGTATTGAATTGAATAGTAATATTAAAGTCTTAAGTGCATTCTGTTTACTGAACGATGTTCATGTTGTTGTAATGGTGTTATATGGATTGTGTTATCGATTCAACATTGGTTAAGCGTTGGATCAATGCTGAATAGAGGATGTTTTCACCTAAATTTCCAGCTATGATCAGTGATCGATATTAATTTCTTGAAGTCTAGTTGGTGTGAACTGCTCAGCTTGTTGTAAGGATTAGTCTTATGAACTTCGTATCTTTTATTACCATTTAATTCTTATATGGTTTGATCTAATTCTTATATGGTTTGATCTGATCTAAGTCCGATCAAGTTTGATCTATTTTGTGACTTAAATAAGTTCAAATGAAGATATATAAGTGCTGGACATCAGCTGCATATTGAATATCCTAGTTAGCTTTTTCCCATTTTAAACGCGTGTTGAACACATATCGTTTCTTTGAACAAATAAACATGCTTAAAACGAAAAATAATGTCGTCCAGTTTAAAAAAGAAACAAACTTTTACTTCCCTTATAAAACGTATTTTTTCCCGTATATTACAAAAAATAGAAACATGAATTGATCAATCTAATGAATGGATTGAATGCATATGAGATCAACAATAGTTTAAAAGCAAAAAGAAAAGCTCTTCTCTGTGACCCCGTGTTTTTAACTTTTTATATTGTTACAATACGATTATTAAATACTAAAATTAATTGAAAGACGACTTATGCTAGCATCCCGTATTTTATAAAAAATAAAAACTTGAATTGATCAATTGAATGAACGCATTAAATGCATAGAAGATCAACAATAGTTTGAGGAAGGGGGCCAGTCCAGCTGGTCGCCGACTCACTCTCCCTTATGAGAGGTCTCGGGTTCAATTCTCAATAGAGTGGGATTGATCCCAATTTACCCCAGGTCCCCCAAACCCCCTCCCCCCGACGCCCCCTGAGGTAATAAAAAAACAACAATAGTTTAAAAGGAAAAAAGCTCCTCCTGTGACCCCAAGTTTTTGTATTGTTAAAATACAATTATTAAATACTAAAAGTAATTGCATCCTAAAAGACTAAGAGCCTGTTTGGTAATACCAAAATCGACAGAATTGGTTGGTTCTGTTGAAATTTATGAAGTTCTGGTTGAAATGGCTAAAATGTGTGTGTGTGTGCGCGCGCAAAAATAACACCCTCACACGTACGCATGTGTGTGTGCGTGCGTGTGTGGGTGTGTGGGAGTGTGAAAAAGGTAGATCTTGTCCATCCGGATGGACAGGAGGATCCGTCCGGCGCTCGCTATTTGGGGCGGTCCCCCATGGAATTTTTTTGATGATTTTTTTTAGCATGTTCTTCATTAAGTGTAGTTTACTCATACCAAATTTCAGCTAAAAATTCAATCGAGAAGGCAGTCAAATGAATTTTTTAAGATAAGTGTGCAGTTAATATATATAAACAACGCAGTATTTTCAGAAAATCATTTGACTGCCTTCCCGGTGGAATTGTGAGCTGAAATTTGATATGAGTAAACTAGATTTCATGAAAAACATGCGCAAAAAATTTGATCAAAATATTGGCCACAAAAGCTGTTGTAAAAACATTGGCCACGGTTAAAAACATAAGGAGGAACATTTACGACAATTTTGCGTCAGTTTTACGTGTGTCGCCACAACAACCGTGGTAAAAACATTGGCCAATGTTTTGTATGTGGTAAATAAAAAATGTGTGGTTAATAGTATTTTTAACGACAGTTATGCGGCCATCGCAAAAAAAATATTGGTCTATGTGCGGTATATGTGCACTTTTCTTGTAGTGCGCGACGAATCACTTTCTTGATGAGTCACTTCGGCGACAAGACAATTGAAATCGTCAGATGGGGGCATATTGTCCGACGGTAGACATGTTCTAATGAAAGGTATTTGTTTAAATTAATATACAAATGCTTAATTCATTACTTTCCTTTACCTAAAAACGATCACTAACTTAATCATCGGAGGGTTGTTGGCTTGAGGCCAACGACCG